TTCTCAGTTTTGACACTATTTAAAGTTATTGCATTGAACTGTTTTACCCATATAACTCTCATATTAACTGATACAAAAAAGTAACAGACAGTAGACTTCCATAGCTAAAAGCATGATATGTTTAGGCAGTTTTACTGTGTATCTTTGTTTCAATACGAGTAATCCAAGCACTTCAAAAATTCCACTATTAACATAGCAAAAATCATATAAAAGGAAAAAAAAATCTATGCTTTTATTTTTTAATTTCATTGATTTTTACTTTACCTGTACTGTACTGTTGCCTCAAAAAAACAAACCGTATCCTCTGTTAACTGTATCTCCAGAACTGGTAGCACTCCATTTCTGCCTTTGCTTTCATCACGATTAATGTGCATCGAACCATTCATACCAAAGTGAACCCTGGGGGGGAAAAAAAAAAAAAAAAACCACAAAGTTCTTCAGGGTACTTCAACAGTTCTTCCAAGCATTAGAATAGTCTATTTGTTATAGTTGTGAATTATTCTGATCTAACAAAGTCAGTACTCAAGTGCATCAATTCTAGTCATTAACAGCAGTATAGCAGCATATGACTTGTTCATGTCTGTGCTTAGTTCCAAGGGAAGAACCCTTTCTGGCTCAAGTTAGAAATACTCCAAAACACAACAGTTTTCAGGTAGTCTGCACACTTTATTACGCAAATGTCAAAACTGATCATTAAATAGCACACACTCCTGGTCTATCTCACAGTGTTCGCTGGAAGACTAGCATTTCCAGTGAAAAATTCTAAGGTCCCTAGGGAAGCTGAAAGAAATGATAGACTACTTCACCACTAATTTTCTGTTATAACAAGCAAAAAAAGTCATCAAATATGAAAGGAAATATTTCAGTCCTCACAGTGCCAACCCTGTTATCATATCAAAGCTATTTTCAATAATGCCATAAACAACGTAATTAACAACTGCCATATGCTGTTTTCTGCTTTTCTTTGCCTACAACCAAGGCAAAAATTGCAGGTCAATTAAAAATTAATAAAAGAAATAAAGTGAAAAATGCACAGATGGCAAAGAAATAGAACAGACTATTTCAAGCACTCCTTTTTACACATCATCAGTGCTTTAAGATTTTACATTTTAAAACGTTTTCTACTGAGACACAGTATTCTCAGGCAAAAGACAATTTTGATTTTTGTCCCATCTATTTTATGTTTGTATTTATTACACACCTGATACATTCAGCTCCTCTTAAGTCAGCTCTTCATGTAACTTCCTAACAGAATTTATTCATTATTTTTCTTTGATTTTCAGAAAGCTATGCCTTTCAAAGTTTTCTTCTTACAGCTCAGTTCAGATAATATAGCTATTTTGGTAGCTTTTGTTTCTATTAGGCATTTCAATTTTCAAGTTCCCTGAATAGTATTATATAGGCCTAAGTAGTCCCCTACATCCCCCTTTTTTTAAATAAACTTTGAACTCTTGTGTACAGCTATCAACTAGGAATGCCCTAAATGTTTCCTGCAAAGTTGTTTTATGAAAACAGCATGCATATTAATAGCCGAACATTTCACTTGCCAATCTTCAGTACACTGTTTAAAAGGCACATTAAAAGTCAGCGATATTAACTCTCATAGCCACAGAGCTAGTTTATGACTAGGAAAATAAGTCACAATTATCTTTATGCATAAATCCCTTTTACATTAGAAAGCCTTAAGAACTTTACAAAATTTCACTTGTGTGATTTATTATCTTTGATGGGCCAGAATGAGATAAAATGGAACTCTCCTCATTTTAACTACAAATACAAAAGATTCTCTAATTAAACATAGACCTGATATTCGATAAAAACGAGTAGTAAAATTTGATGTTGTTGTAAAGGGAAAAAAGGCAAGTTTTTAGATTGATTTAGTGCCAGACACTATTATCACTACAAATTTACATCAATAGCACACTACAGAAACCAGACCCAGTACAATCAGTCTCATATTTCCCTAACACTTTACTTTTTTTTGGTGTAACAGGACCAATGATAAAAGTTCTTCAGGAGTCATTGCTCTTTAAACAGAACTAACTGCCCACTTTAGCAATTTGCAGATAGCGAATATACTGAACTAGATTTCCTTCATTGGCTAATTGCTATCTGTAGTATAGCAATATCTGAGAAATATGCCTCACTCTAGTTAGGCAAATAGTAACCATACTCTATAAAAGGATTTCACGTCCAGGTTATCTTCCTCCAATAGGCAGTCGCTCCCCAGCTGAGAGAAATCCAAAAGCATAAAATAAGTTGATTACCTTGCATGGGTCTGTCTTTCAGAATACCCGCCACCTAGCTTTGTCTAACATTTCAGTATCACTACCAGGATTTAGAGGAAAACTCAGCAGACAAGAACAGCTGCTTTGGTTATGTTAGAAAACATACTTTTTTTTTTTCTTGTAAATTTTGCAATTTTTTTTTACAGGAGCTCATTGTCAGAGCAACCGAATCTTAAAAAAAAATAAATACAATCTCAATCTAAATTCTTTAAGCAAAGCTAAAGGTATGCAAATACATTTTTGATGGAAGATACTACGCAACTGCATGTGTTTCTATGATTTCAGTCACTAAATAGTTCAATTTCCTGTATAAAATGAAGCATTTCAAGAAACATCTGTCCTTTTCAGACACATTTACAAGAGATTTTTAACTAAGAATAATTGACTGAAACAAGTCACTATTCAGTATTTCCAGAAGTTAAGTACAAGCAGAATTTTTTCTCTTTCAAGTATCTGGAAATGAGAGAGAGAACTAAGAACAATAAGACCCCCACGAAAATGTACAGTTTAAATGCATAGAGGACATTTTTCATTCCCCACCTCTTACCTCAAAGCTGTCTGATCAAAATACATAAAAAGTTCTTTTCCCAAAGTCTCCACACCTCTGTAAACATGTCCAGTAAGGAAACTATGGCCTGAGATTCTCTCCTCACTCACAGCAGTCTGTAAATGAGCACACACACAAGTTACAACACAATACTATTATCATTATGTATATTATAGCAAATTATTATAATGTAATATAATGTATTTATATATTTATAATATATAAAATAATAAATGATGTGTTATGTATATAACATGCCATAATGTCTAATATGATGTTGGCCTGGACAACATATGGAGACTCTTTTGCATTGGCCAAGTCTTTGCCCGTGGTTAACAGCCTCTTTGAGATCTAAGCAGTGCTTGCTAGTGAACAAAGTCACCCTGAGGTGACTTTTACTGTACTATACTTATGCTCATAAGTATGTTTAGGGTAATTGATTTTCTTTACATAAGTATAGGAGCTTAACTCCTCCTTTTGACTCCATTAGAAGTCAAAATCCTGAAAGACACAAAGCTATAAAAACCAATCTCTTGATGGCATATCTTTTAAATAAAGTAATTTCATAAAGAAAGAAATTTGAGATACTTGATTTTTTATATGTAAGCACAGTCGTACATACATAAAAGGAAAAAAAAAGGCCTACTTTCTGTTTGGAGATACTCAATATACTAAGGACACAAGCAATACATAAAATTTCTCACAGCTGAACAAAAACAAGCATGAAAGAGAGGGAAGGAGGAAAAAAAACCACCTGTGCAATCAAAACAAGAGTACTGGATCTTCATAGCTCATTAGAGAGACCAGCTCACTTGTATCTTTACACCTTTTTGCTGCCAGAAAGCCTCACAAGCCCCAACAGTTTTATTTCACTGAATTATTTTATACCGCCAATAAAAAGGGTAAAAACTAGTAGCAAAATTGCACACTGTGTATACATTGAAGGCAGATGCCACATGATTTATTTATTTAAATAGCTGGTCTAATTAGTATGATGTTTTTAAAACGAACAGCTATGTAAATTCCTTTTCTGCAGACAAAAGTTTATTTTTCTCTGTTCTGGTTCCTTCAGACTTTTGAAGGCTTGATGAGCAGAAAAGAAATTAAAACCAGGAACTACTGGTATAATTTTCCTTGTATCATACTTTTCCTGAAGCCAAATGATATTTTAAAATTCACCATTTTTAGTGAGCAAAAGGAATTATGGATGTTTTCCCCTCATTATTTACAAAAAACCTAGGCTTCTCCAGCTCTTGCAACTCCTTAAACACCCAATCGGCTAAGGCTGATTTATCATGCTGATGGCAATAATATTTTAAGACATTGCAATTTAAGGAAGCAGAACAACCCAGAGCTGCCAGCTAGCAGTTGCTAAGGCCACAGCTCTGCCACACTGACGGAGGAAGAGAAGGAGATATTACGGACACCAGCGGTCCTGCCCTGCAGCTCACGCCCATCAGCCAACGGCTCCCGCACTTGAGCGACACAATGAAGCAACAACAAACCACATCTTTTCCCAGATCTGGCAGAATTTTCCCCAAACTTATAGACACACATCTGGCTTGCGCAGCGCCCCGGCAGCGGCCGCCCCGCCCCATTAACGGCCCCCGCCTCACGCCCCGCCCCGCCT